AAAAAAGTGATGAAGAGATACAGGAGGAGTTGGGGGGAGGGGTGGACATGGATTTGATCAAACACCTTATATGCATGTATGAAATTCTTAATAAAGATTTTGTAAAAGTTGAAAAAAAAAACCTTACCTGTACCTATATGATGAAATTTCCCTGTGTGGCTGTTGGGAAGTCACAGGATATATACTTGAGTGTGGACTTTCCAGTGTAGCCGTAAATTCGGGGGAGCACCCACTTTTCTATAAATAAACCCCCACCCTATGCTCTGTTAGCAAGCCCAAAAAACTCATTAGGATTTCCAAAAACAAAAAGAACAGAGCTAATGGAAACCTTCATTATACCACCAAAGTTGAACCCATGTTGCCAAATCCTTTTGTCTTTGATTTCTTATTCCTATTCCCCCCTTATATTTCAATATATATATTAACCTGCTTCAAGTTATTTCTGGGAAAATGTGTTAAAATTGCCTCTTTGGAATAATAAAAAAAAAACAGTAATAAAAATATTTTTAGAAAAAAAAAAAGAAACTGCAGAGTGCATGTCCCTGGATAAGACTCCCAGTCCTTCCCAGCACCAGGGAGTTGGCCACTGGAGTTGTGCTCTTTTTAGAACGGAAAATGTCTGAATTCATGCACACACACAGGGTGATGACCCCAGGAGTTCTTCCCCTATACAATACACAGGAGGGTTATTCAGGGAGCTTTCCCTAGGAACTGTTTTCATAGCCTCCAATCTCATCTTGACTTTTGGCCCTTAGACTTAATCAACTAGCAAATAAAGAGAAATTTTTAGTTTCGCTGAGGACTCCCAACCCTAATCCTGACATCAGGGGCACTCTTTTGGAGCATTTATAAAGAATTCTTCTTTCTCTCTCTGCTCCTGTCTCTCTCTCTCTCACAATTTCCTTACGGATCTGTTTCATCAGAAATGCTTACTGAACAGATAAATATCAATTAACTCACCCTAGAAAAGACTTTTTCTTTGCAAAAAAAAAAAAAAAGGGAAATACAATGGACAGAAACCTGGAGCCCTGGACCCAAGACTCAGCTGGTCTCCACCCACTGTAGACCTTGTCTACCAAGCTGAGCCTCTTCAGCTGCATCTGGGTCCTGGGTAGACGGGTCATAGTCAGGCCTTCTGTGTCACAGGTTCCAGAAAGGTTCTGATGAGAAGGTATGTGGAACTTCCCAGAAAGGTTCTGCACTTATAATTTATTCTCCAGTCATGTGGATCACTAAGGACATCTGTCTCCCTGTCCTGGCCCACTCCCTTGAACGTAGATTCTTTTTTGTCTCTGTGCTCACTAACTCCTTCGAATGGTCAACGGCCTTGTTGTATGTAAAGAGGCATGCACAAGTCTTGCTCGTCCATGGAGCAGTATCAATCTCTCCTTCCCATCACAGTTAACAACAGTTCTATTGAGTTACCAGGTCACCACCCCGGGGTTATTCTCAAGTCCCCTTCTCTTACACATACATTCCACCATAAGAAACTCCTGCTGATTCTTCTAAACACACCCAATTCCTGTCCCCTTACAACTGCCACATCCCACGTCACAACACCACTGATATGGTCACTCTGTATGATGGCCATGTCCCCTCACTGGACTCACCTCCTGAATTTTCCCCTGTCACCCACCCCAGGCTGTTGACAAATAACACTCTGAAATTTATCTTTGAAAAAATAAAAACAAAGTGTTTTCAGTACAAAAGCAAGACTCAGCAGAAGACCCTCCATCACCACTCAGACCTCTGTTCCTTCTGCCTCCCAATATTGCCTCATACCCAGTCTCACTGGCCACCACACGGTTCTTCCAACACTGCAGGCAGACACCAGCCTGTTCCAATGGCCTATGTCCTCCCAGAAGCCCTTCCCAGACATGCTGTGTCTTGTTCACCTACCTCCTTCTTAGTTTCCCACTGAAGCCTTCCTTCAGTCCCTTCTTAGAGCTGAAATTCTCTTCCACTCTGTCTCTTCTCTGCCTTGCGTGGCTCAGAACAAGCAATACCAGCACACGGTCTGTTTTATTTATATGAATTTTGCTGCTTTCTGGTCTCCTCATTGGAATCTATGTTTTCTGGCACCTCTTTTGCTTAACACATGATCCCATGCTCTTCAAACAGTGACTATATTATGTGCTTAGTAAATAGTCTTTGGATAAGTAGTAATTATGATACAAAACAACCTTGAGAAAATTTTGTCTCAGTAGACATGCCATTTTCTCTAATCTCAGCTTTTTCTGCTGGGTGTTTGGACAGTGTTTGTTTGCTTTTCTTTCTTTCTTTTTTTTTCCTTTCTTTTGCATGAGAACAGATAAGAAACCACCTTGTCTAGACAGTGTTTTTGGAGGAAGGATGGCTCTATGTCCCGTGTCAGTGCTCTGCTTCCTGACCTTCACCTTCCCATCTCTCCAGCCATCCTATGCCTTCCTGCTACACACAGTTCTTCAACCCAGGGACCCATCTGAACCCACAGTGCCAACAGACAGGAGGATAGAGGTTAAGGAAAGACAAGGGGGGAGTTCTGTCCAGGCAGAGGGCTGTGAGAAAGAACATGCGGGGATAGCAATGGAAAACAAGTGACTCACTTCCCCCCCACAACAATAACGGAAAATCGCCCCAACACAACCTGGAGACAGACAATGGGAGGAAAAGGATACGCTGATGCCTAAATAGACACTGAAAAATGACCCAGCGGCTGGCGATAGAAACTATAAAGGAGAGAGGTGGGGGGGAGGCAGGAAAAAGACCCTCGCTTATGTTCAGTTAGATCTCCTGCAGAAAAGCAAATTCAACATAGACAGCCTGTGGAGGAATTCCTAGCATCAACATTATATGCATGCAAGAATTATCAAGCAATAAAAACAATTTTAAAACTAAAAACAATTTCATTGTTCTTTTCCTGTGCTTATACTTACTGCGTAAGAGGGGACAGGAAATAGCTGCTCCTCCCAGATCTGATCTCCTTCCATAGTGCCCACCAACCTCTCATCTAGGGTGTCTCTGCCACCCTAGGAACTCTCTACCTCAGACTGTGGCTCTGAGATAGAAAACAGTCTCACAATGATGGGAAAGTCAAAGAAATAAGGAAGGCCTGAGGTGCTGTGCATACAAAGTGTCATGATCTCATCTTTACATATTAAACCAGATATTAAAATGCCATACTACACCCCATAATGTATCATACAAAGGGTAATGTGAGAGAAAGGAAACACAGTCAACTAGATGACAGGGTGGAGACAGGTCAGAGCCAGCCTCTGTGCACCTTAGTCTACCCGCTGCCTCCTGCCCACCTCCCACAACATACCTGCCTCTCACCTGAGCTGCAGAACTAGCTTCACCGCCCATGCAGGTACTTAACACAGAGAATGGGTGGGGAAGGTGAAGCCAATAGCTCCCAGGGGTACCACAAATGCCAGCCTTGGAACTGGAGCTGCCAAGCTTCCACTGAAAGGGACCCAAAGGAAGAGCTCAGGGAAAGCACCAGGACGACAGCCAACAGAGGGACAGTGAGGAGACTTGGTCAAGGGAGGCTCCTGTATTGAAGAGAACATAGGGATTGGGAGGAGAGTTTCTTTATGCTCTGCCTGTCCCCTTATTTCTGCACTTCCCTGGGAAGACCCCTATAAGGGTCTCCAGCTCTGACTTCCCTCCTGAGTCCTCAATGCTCCACAGTGCATACCCATCCTTTGCCTGCCCTCATACAGCTGGCCTACATCTGTGTTTTGAATGATTTACAGAGAACTGGTGAGATACTATACTTGAATCAAATGTAGTCAACTAGCCATACTTGGGAAGATGGGGCAGAAGGATCACATCTTTTTTCAAGCTATCCTGGGCTACATAGTAAGTTCCAGGACAGCTTGAGCTGCCAACAGCAACAAAAACAGAAAAATCCATGCACTGAATACTGTCCTCATCCTAAGGAGCTTATCGCCTAGTGGGAGGGAAAGTACAGCTTCCATATTCACAAGTGTCTGATGGTACATGGGAGCTAGGACTCATGCCAAACCCGTGGTATATTTCTTCAAGAGCAGTAGATGTGCTTCGTAGTTCACAGTACACAGCGCCAGGGTCTACACCTATTGTGTCTGTTATCTCTCTCTCACCATGGATTGTACAGTCTCTCCCGCAGAGAGTGTCCTATACTTGACAATAAACTTCATGGTCAAAATTTTATAAGGTTTTGGCCTTATGCATCATAGAAATAAGTCCATTTTTTTCAATCTGTTTATCATCCACTTGACACATGACTAAATTACTTTAGATATCCTTGGGACAGCATGCTGAAATGCATATGGGGGAGCTAAGGAAAGGAAGGAAGACAGGAGAACTGAACCGAGGGAACACTGAGGGGATGTCTTCTGAGCACACTGATCTTGGACACGTCGGCTTGTGAGGATGTGACCCAGAGCATCTGCGTCTTCTTTCATCAGTCTCCTCTGAGCCTCCTTAAGCACCTGATATTTCCCACACCTGAATTTTGGCCTGAACCCTTTCCCCCATTGGAAGGTACTTGGTCTATTTTTTCCATTGCTTTTCAGTTTCATTATTCTCTAAGATTTGACACATTTTCATAAATCTCTGTGCAAACTTCCAAAACAAAACAAAACAATGCAAAACCCAAACGAACGAAACTCTCAATCCACAGTTTACTGCTCCCACTCCAGTCTTGGTGTCCCTTCCTGATTCAGTCTGCCTTGCCCTGTGACAAGCTCTAGTGCTGTTCATTGTACTGAACAGGCTGAACTGGTTGGTCATCTGCAAGGAAGGTAACATCCTCACTTTTATTACTATTATTATTATTACTTTTATTTTATGCATATGTGTGTATTGCCTGCATGTAGGTAAATGCACCTGTGTCGTGCAATGCGGGCAGAGGTCAGATGAGGCTGTCAGATCTCCTGGGACTGGAGTTACGGACAGTTGTTAGCTGCCATGTGGGTGCTGGAATTTGAAGCCAGGTCTTCTGCAAGAACAACCAGTGTTCTGAACTGCTGAGCCATCTCTCCAGCCCCCAATCCTCACTTTTTATATAACGTATTCTTTTAAAATATTTTATTATTTTTATTTCATGCCTATGAGTATATTGCCTGCATGTGTATGTGCACCTGTGTCATGCAATGCCTGTGGAGTCAGAAGAGGGCATTGGAGTCCCTTGGAACTGGAGTTATGGATGGCTGTTAGCCACCATGTGTGTGTGCTGGGTATCGAACTCAGGCCCTCTGCAAGAGTGGCTGATGCTCTTAACTGCTGATCCGTCTCTCCAGCCCACAACATATCCTTTTTTTTTTCAGATTTTTTTTTTTTTTTTTAGTTATGTGTATGTGTTTGTGTGCATATGAGTATAGTGCCCGCAAAGGCCAGAAGAGGGCATCAGATCCCTGGAGCTGGTTACTACAGGTGGTTGTGAGCTACCTGAGTGCACCTCAGCAGTAAGGTGTCCACCCACTGTGCTCTGTGTCCCAGGCTTGATCTTCAGCTCCATTCAGAATGAAGGAAAGCAAACAGTAACAACCACAGAATGAAAACAAACCATATACAGAAATACAGTAGCTATTTTTAAAAAATGACCTCACCCCAATAATGAAAGAAGGGGGCAAAAATATTGCAGAACTAAGAGTAAGACCGAATAACAGTATAATTAATAAAGGAAAAGAAAATGAGACAGAAGAGAGAAAAACTTCCTACTAAAGTATAATAAAAAGATAAAAAATTTAAAAGTAATGAAAATAAAGAATAAGCTAATGGTAGAACAGATGAGGGAGAAGAGGGAAAAAATGCAACAGGGGACATGACCATGCCCACGCTGCAGCACACGCTCAGAAGCCTCAGTGGTGTGTGTGTGTGTGTGTGTGTGTGTGTGTGTGTGTGTGTGTGTAACAAGTGCAAGCCTCTCCCTTCCTCCCATTGTCTGCCCTGGCTGCGCTCTTGGCTCTGTGAAACCTAAACAAACGAAAAGGCAAAACAAGTGCAAGCCTCTCCCTTCCTCCCATTGTCTGCCCTGGCTGCGCTCTTGGCTCTGTGCTGCCCTCTTGTGGCTATGTTCTCCTGGCAGGGAAGACTAATGCCTGATTCCTTGAACTCTGCTTCCCAAAAGCAGATCGAGACTCCTGGACTTTTGGAGGGAATAAGTGTGAACGTAACAGAGGAGGCCCCTGCTCTCACAGAGCGTTCAGGTTAGCTTTAAAGCATCACAAAAACCACACACAGCCTTTGGAACTACAGGTGCAAGGCAATTAACTACCTGATTTTATTTATTTATTTATTTATTTATTTATTTATTTATTTATTTATTTATCCACTTTGAGACAAGGTCTCACTGTATAACCCTGGATGATGTAGAACTCTTTGTGTAAACCAGGGTGATCTTTAGTTCACAGAGATCCACCTGCCTCTGCCTCCCAAGTGCATCTTGAGATTAAAGGCTTGATTATAATGAGGATTTGCCACGTATGTATAAATACTCCCCAATGAACTGAACTGGCAAGTTGGTGGGAAAGGATTCCTTCCGTAAGGCATTTGACATCAGTGGCCGGAGAGTACTTCCCAGTACTTACTATAAAAAATTTTAAGCATGTGCAAAAGTGAAATGGGTATTATAAAGTCCCATGATTTTTTTTAAATTTACTTATTTTTTTATGCATGTATGTACCTGTGTCATGCAATACCCTCAGAGGCCAGAAGAGGGTGCTGGATTCCCTGGAACTGGAGTTAGAGCTAACCACCCTGTGGGTGCTGGCAACTGAACCCAGGTCCTCTGGAAGTGCAGCCAGTACTCCTAATCACTGAGCCATCTCTCAGGCCCCAGAGTCCCATGGCTCTTGATTCTTCTGTTTCCCTACTCTGATGCATATTCTTTCTATTATTTCTTTATTTTAGCGAGTTTCTAAGTTCGCAGTTAGGTGCATTGATATTAGTTATGAAATTATTATCCTGCATGCTTGTTTTTTATTAGCATATATTCATTGTAAAGCAT